GGGAAAACAGAGGAGAGAGCACTCCGTAGACCCGCTTCACTTCTAGGGAAAATAGAAATCTAATATTTGTTCCCTTTCTTACTTGATTTGGAGGTACAACCGCTGCTTGATTGCCGTCATAAAAACCAGGAAGCTTCATTCTTTGTCCCCCTGTAAGGAATAAATAATTTCAAAATGCATAATTAACAAAATAGGGGGAGGTATTCTATAGGAAAGGAGGGAAAGCAAGTCAGATGGGGAATCGGAGGATCTTCCATTACCTCCTGAGGTGTCCTGACTTGGATCTTCCCTAGGGATCCTCCTGAAAAATAGCTCCTGAGTGGGATTTGATGGGTTCTTTCCCTCAGGATCTCTGATCTCCACAGTGCAGCACTTCAAATAGGAGGAAGGAAAAAAGAAGCAGAATTAATGTACATCACCAGAAATAAAGTGGATTCTTATATTCAGAAAACAACCTCAAAGCCTCCAATATCCATCTGTGTGGCTGAGTGAGAAAACAATGGAACAATGTCGTAGAAGAACTGGAGAATTGCTACACGTTATGAAAATGGGAGAAGTTTGGGAAGGAGGGATGAAGCATTCAAGCACTCCCTCTATTTATTCCCTTCTGAGCTCCCAAAAGTCTCCCACCTGCAGCTGGAGCTGCTCCTTCTCTTCCTCCGCCTGGCTCAGGAGGAAGCCTTCCGCCAGGGCCACCGCCTGGGAGCTGCTCTCTGCTCCACACTCCCGCACCCAGCCCTCCATCTCTGGGGGCAGGAGAGCCAGGAACCGCTCCAGAACCACCAGGTCCAGCATCTGGGCTTTGCTGTGCTTTCCTGGGCTCAGCCATCGCCTGCACAAGTCATGGAGTTGGCTGCAAAATCTTCAGGGACCCTCAGCCTCCCGGTATCGGATGGAGGTCCAGGGTGGAACTTCAGAGGGGAGGCTGGTTCCCTCCTGCAGGACCTTCTGCCCGGTTCTGGTTCAGCTCTCCCCACTTCTCCCAGGCTGAAGATCCGCAGGGCCTTTTCCGCTCCCCTCCTTGGCCAAAGGGGGTGTCTCCATCCTTCCTCTCTCCGGCAGAGCAGCTCCAAAGGGCTCCAGGGACTCTGGGGGTCTCCAGGGGCCTCTTCCTTCATGGGAGCATTTCTGGAGCTGCAGGACAGATCCCTGCCGGTCCTTCCGCTTCCTTCCTTTCCCCGCAGAGGAAATCCTGCCTTGCAAAGGCTGCCCAGGGCTCCGAGGTTCCGGATCTGGGAGGGAGAGAAAAACGGAGACCCAGGATTAGAAAGGGGGATTCAGCCCCTGGACCCCCTTCCCCCCCTGCCCGTAGCCCCCAGCAGCTCCTCCCAGTGTAGGGCCACGCCTGTCCCAGTAGGGCTGGGAAGGAAGCAGCTGCAGAGGCTCCCCCCCTCCCCTCCCCCACTTCGCATGGAGGGTGGCTGGGGAGCATGGGATGCAGGAAGAGCCCCCCTCACCCGTGGCACCTCTGGATTCCCCCCCCGACTCTCCCCAAGTCTCTCCGACTCCTGCTGCACCCCAGGGTTTGAGGAGAGCGAGTGCGGCATCCTAGAGAGGCAA